AGTGTGTGTATGTATATATATTGATATATATATATACATATACATATATATATGGGCGTTGATACGGGTGCGTGCGGGTAGTATTCTGCATGTGTATGTGTGTATGTGTATTGTATCTATCACACTAATCTGTATCCCATTCGAAGCTCGTTTGTTTCAAGCAAATCTATAACTGCAGTTGCTTAATGTTTGAATGCTGGTCTAATTCACAGGGGTCTGCACTCAAGCACTTACAGGGTCTTCTTTTTTTTCGTTTTGCTCGCGTCCGGTGATTCACTTTTCGTATCTGCTTCTTTCTTATCAGAACACACTACTGATGTCGTGAAACTATGCGAGGCACATCTCAATACAGGGTGTTTAGCACCTTCAGGTACATGACTTTTTGCGCAGTATCTGAGACCCGCATTCTGGTACAGTTGCAGGTGATTACATTTGAATATCCTTCGCAACATTGTTGACTCGATCTCTAAAAGATCATTCGATAGGCTGGTTCACGTATTCACGTATTCTATTTTAGCTCACGTATAGTTGCCTCTCATTTATAAAAGCCACAGAATTCTTGTCTCACTACATATTTAGTCGTCTCAGACGTCTGTCACTCTGTCCTCTCTTTCTCGCTCAGAGACTCACTCTACCACTAATTATTTTTAAATACACACATAGTAGAGTGGAGAGGCCCCAGAAATTTGTTTTTGTTTTGTTTTTTTTGGCTTGGATTTGGCGAGCGAAAATGAAAAATCACAGGACATGGAGATGTTGAGAGACCAAGTCTTTACTAGAGGTACTACTAGGACCGAGAGTCCGAGACCCCCAAAAAAATGAAGACTTGATTCAGGCCTATACATGTCTTAGTCTGAATGTCACAGAATGTCGATTGGTGATAAATATGATAATATCGATTGGTGATAAATATGATATGTACGCGGAATGTGCATATGTAGCCACTCTTATGTAAATTGTACGATAGGTCCACTCTACAGTCCACGCTCTCAGTTGTCTGTACTCTGCAGTCATAGACGCAAAGCTGTAAACAATCACATCTGCAACTGAGTTGTTTGTACGTTCGACACGCACTGATGGATTGATTATGCAGCAAGCAGTCTCGCATACAACAGACTATATCAACTTGAGAACATACTCTTCTGAGTTTGTAGATATAGGTTTGCCCGAAGTCGACGACCCTTTACAACACAATGTCTCTGTGCAATCACAACACGATGCCCTTGTGGTGCTGTCTGAATCTACAGAGGAGGCAGATACAAACACCATTTCACCTATTCACAATACATGCTCTCTAATTACGAATAAAGTAGTACCGTTCAAACCGAACAAATCTACTAATATGCGTTCACCTGTGAACAACTCCGAGTACAATGCCGCTGCGACTTCTAAGGAGACGAGCAACAATACACACACAAGCGAAGGTACTGTGGCATTGAAGACCTTGAAGTCGTCTGATCCCTTTAGCAATGCAGACCATGAATTCCTTGAGGTAGCCCGCAGTGCACTCCTATGTTCGGCTGTACCTCCGATGAGCCAAGGCATCCACTACGATTTGACCGATGACTATGGACTAAGCACATTTTCTGAATACCATCTACCTAGACAACCGTCGCCATATATGCCTAGTGGTGTACGCAAGCCGACCCCAGCAAATACGCTGACCTATGGGCCGCAGATTCGACAAGGTATAAATTATGAGAATATACACCAAATATAATAGGTGTACTGGGTCGCCTTCGAATGAATAGTATGCATCGTCTCGACCTTTAAAAATGAGAGTGGACTTTTCACAAATCATTCATATTTCTCCACCGCATTCTGCATATTCGCATCGTTTCTTCATACAACACAAAATCACATATCATAATTATTGAGCATATACATGTATATGTATGTATTAGTGTAAT